GACCAAAAACAGCGTTATTTTTGCCCTTTTAAGTGTTTAAGCAAGTTTTTTGAGATAAAAACGAAGGAAACTCTAAAAATTTCGTTGTAGCAGGCAAAAAAATTACAAAATTAAATCGAAATTGATATTATTTTTAGCTTGTTTCACTCGACTTACTTCGTTTTTGAACCAAAGGCTCATTTATTTTGCAAAATCTTGTCCCAACACGTTTAAAAATCATAAATACAATGGATATTGATGTTATTTTGTTTGTTTCACTCGATTTTTGAGCAAAATAAGCCGAGAATGTTTTTGAGTACGTTTTTGTGCTACAATCTTAGGTTTTTTACAAATTTTGAACCGAAAAATCAACAAATTAAGTTGAAAATTACATTAATTTTGCATTTCTTGAAAATTTTAGCATGTTTTTCAGCTAAAAATACGATTATTTCGCAAAATTTTGTTAAAAACACGTCAAAAAAACTCAGAATTAGACCGAAAATGATATAATTTTCTGTTTTTTGCGAGAGTTTGCCATAGCGTGTCAAAAATCTCTAAATTGCTATAAAAAAAGATTATATTGTGATACTTTTACTTAACTCTTAGACTTTAACTTATTTCATCAAATTTTCTCAAAAAAAAATAAATAAATAATCGAAAACCAGTACATTAGTTAAAAATAGTTCTATTTGTTTTTTACCAGATATTACTAAACAGAATCGAAAATGACAACTTATTTTTATTTTTTTCGAATGCTTTTTAGCTATAAACACAATTATTTTGCAAAATTTTGTCAAATGCAAGCCACAAATTCAACAAAACAGCTCAAAAAACGGTTTTTTGCCTTTTTAAGAGATAACACCTCAAAAAGTTCAAAATAATGTTTGAAACAGGCTAAAAAACTACAAAACTAAACTGAAATTGTTTCATTTTGTAGTTTGTGTCGTCCATTTATTTTGCAAAATCTTGTCCAAACACGCTTAAAAATCACAAAAAGGACTAATATTGATGGTATTTTTATTGTCTCGCTTGATTTTTCTGGTTTGTGGGCAAAATAAGACGAGAAAACACAAAATTTGGCCAAAAATGCGCACGTTTTTGTGGTAAAAGTTTTTCGCTAAAAAAAAGTGAGGTTAAGTTTCAAGGTTCCAAAGCAGACAAGAAATAAGCCTTAAATAATACAAATATTTCAATTTGTGACACATAATCGAAATAAAACCCACTTTTACTTGTATTTTTTTTACTTAAAAGTAAGTGACTAAATTACAATTAGGCAAAATAAAAAAATGAGGTTATGTTTTTTAGAAATGATAAAATCCGGCCTTTTTAAATCTCTGCTGAGACGAAACAAGCTCGTGTACTTCAGTCAACAAGCCCCCAGTTTTCGTACCGATGAAAACGACCCCCTTAAACACACCTTAAATCATGTGGGGCAGTACTACAGGGTGCCCCCAAAAGAACGCAAAGTGTACCTTTACGGGGGTTTACCGAAATCGTACGAAATTCAATCGAAGACATTCAATGAGACTTGTTTAATGGTGCGGAAGCCTTCAATCGACATTATAAATTGTTTGAAAGAGATTGATTACACAAAACCTGCTGTAAGATTCGTACTTTTTGGTAAACCCGGAAGTGGTAAGAGTTTGACAATGGCCCATGTGTTACATTATGCCCACAATGCCGGTTTTCTCCTGGTTCATGTCCCTTGGGTGGGCAATTGGATGAGAAAACCCAAAGAATTGAGTAATTCTGAGACTAGAGAAGGGTTTTTTGATTTAAATATAGACGCAGCTGCGTGGTTGGTACACTTTAAGTCACAAAATGAGCGTTTATTGAGCACTCCTGAGCTTAAAACGACTCAGGAACACGTTTGGAGTAAACGTGAGAGTACACCAAAGGGGGCCACTTTACTCGAATTGATTGATCATGGGATTAATAGATTGAAATATGCCTCTGAGTGTGTCATTGCCTTAGCTGAAGAGTTAAAAGAGTTGAGTAAAACGGGACATTGCAAGACTTTAGTGGCAATTGACGGTTTTAATGCGTTTTTTTACCCAAGAACTCGCGTTTTTAAGGAGAAAAAAGAAGTGGTTCCCCCGAATAAAATCACACTGACTGAGGCTTTCCTCAATTTGACCAAATTCGACTGGAATAATGCTGCAATTGTTGTCACTGTTGATCAAATTGCTCTTTATGAAGAGGATCAAAAGTCGTATTTTCCCAGGTATTAAATTCTACGACTCAAATTTGTTGTTTTTATTTATTTTTTATTTAGGTATCTCTTGGGGAAGGAAGGATTTGAACATTTAGACCCATTTGTACCAGTTTTTGTTGATGTTTATACACCTAAAGAGTTAAAAAGTTGTATGGATTATTACAGAGAGAGGAAATGGATTAGGTATTTCCCACAACAGGACGAAGAATTGGGGTCACTGAGTGCAAATAATCCGTTTAAATTAATGCAGTTGTGCACTTCACTTTAAATGTAACAAAATTCGAATAAATTGATTACAAAATAATCGCTTATTCATTAAAAACACCCAAAATTCTACCACCTAATAAAAAAACTAAAATAACTTGTATAATTGGTTGCCTAACTAACTTGTTTTTGTTGAAAAAAATATTTTTTACGTTGTTAACTTTTGAAAAAGCAAAAAACTGAAAAAATATAGACCAGGAAAATGAGAACACAAGGTCCATCAAAACAATTGTTTTTAATAAAATACGAGTGACGAGATTGCTTTTACGTCAGTACCTCAAAAACGTACAGTTGCGGAATGAAAATTTCGGGCAGTTTTGTCATTTTCATAATGTACAGTTGCGGAATTAAAATTTCGGGCACTCTAAAAAGTTCACTGTAAACTTAAACTAAAGTAGATTTCATTGAAATTGGCATAATAGGTGGCTATGGAATTTCCTATTTAAGTTTGTAGCCCTGCGCATGTCCCTGATATAATAGCTACTGGGGTTTTTGTTTTTCTTTGATTACTTACCTACATGGTTTATTGAACTGACATGACTGACATTTGTATTCGTTTTTTCACTGTTTTCGTTGCTTGTTCGTTATTCCCACTATTTTTTCAAATTATAATCAAAAGTAGTTCTCTTCAGAACCCCAGATTTAAGGTACACGCTAAGGTATGTTTGAAAATATAATCAATTTCTTTTTGTTGTTCCTGTTTTAGGCATTTTAGGTGGAATGGAATCAAATATACCAATTTGAATTTGAATTTATCCACGGCAAAACACGATTTTTCAAGCTTCGGTACGSGAGGCTTCATTTTGTACAGATTTCCACTCCGATCGCAACAACTTTARCATTGTTTAAAAATTCACAATTTTGTCCTACATTTCTAATGAAAAAATCCAAACCCCTTTTGGCTGCAACTTTCACGGAAAACAAATTGTGTTTCTTCTCCGGTGTGAATGAAACGTATTTTGAAATTTCAYGAAYCRATTTGTTATCAACGAAAGTCTATATTTTCTCCAAAGCAAATAGTGTATGTTTTTGGTGTCAAAACTACACCTACAAAGGGATGAAACTTTTTATGGAGAAAAACTCTCTCTGAAAACCTTTGAAAGAGGGTTCTTTAAAAATAAAATTTTAACCATCTTAACCTCACTTTTTTTAGTGACAAATTTAGTTCCTTAATTGTAAAGCCTTTTTCACATTTAAAGCGCAGTTTACACAATCATGGCCTACTGTTATGCCAATTTAAATGAAATGGATTATACCTTTTACTGTCATCATGAATGACATTTGACAATTAAACTTTTTTTTGTTGTTAAAATTGTTAATTAAATGTCTTAGGAAATTTAGTAATTGAACTAAGTGTAATTAAATCATCGCTTTGATTTGCTGCCTACCCGTTATTATGTCACAAATCATTATTTTTGAAAGTAAATGACATAAACATAGTAAGAGTAAAAAATGAGGTTATTAAGGTAAATGGTGTTTTAGAGTTTAAATTATGAAAATAACAATACTGCCCGAAATTTTTGATTCCGCAACTGCAAAATTTGAAAAACCACCAAATTGGCTTAAAATAGTTTTGTTTTTTTTCCAAAAAACAATTTATTTTTGTCTTTTTCGAATACTTTTTCAGCTAGAAACACAATTATTTCGCAAAATTTTGATAAAAACAATCGAAAAATTCAACAAATTCGACCAAAAACAGAGTTATTTTTGCCCTTTTAAGTGTTTAAGCAAGTTTTTTGTGATAAAAATTTCGATTATTTCGTCAAATTTTTTCAAAAAAGTTGAAAAACCACTAAATTGGTTTAAAATAGTTTTGTTTTTTTCCAAAAGACAATTTATTTTTGTCTTTTTCGAATACCTTTTCAGCTAGAAACACAATTATTTCGCTAAATTTTGTTAAAAACAATCCAAAAATTCAACAAATTCGACCAAAAACAGCGTTATTTTTACCCTTTTAAGTGTTTAAGCAAGTTTTTTGAGATAAAAACACAGAAAAATTTAAAAATTTCGTTGTAGCAGGCAAAAAAATACAACATTAAATCGAAATTGATATTAATTTTAGCTTGTTTCACTCAACTTCCTTCGTTTTTGAACCAGTGCCTCATTTATTGATAATATTGTTTGTTTCACTCGATTTTTGAGCAAAATAAGACAAAAATAAGCCGAAAATGTTTTAGAGCACGATTTTGTGCTACAATCTCAGGTTTTTTGCAGATTTTGAACCGAAAAATCAACAAATTAAGTTAAAAATTGCATTTCTGAAACTTTTAGCACGTTTTTCAGCTAAAAATGTGATAATTTTGATCAAAACTATCGAAAAATTCAACAAATTCGACCAAAAACAGCGTTATTTTTGCCCTTTTAAGTGTTTAAGCAAGTTTTTTGAAATAAAAATTTCGATTATTTCGTCAAATTTTTTCAAAAAAGTTGAAAAACCACTAAATTGGTTTAAAATAGTTTTGTTTTTTTTCCAAAAGACAATTAATTTTTGTCTTTTTCGAATACTTTTTCATCTAGAAACACAATTATTTCG